CCCCCCCCCCACCTTGCGCTTGCTCTAAAGTAAAATGACACTGTCCTAGAGAACCACCTGTCTAAGATAACCACTGTTCTCTTCAACAATGAGTGGCCGTTTTACACAATTTCGACTGTGTATCTATGCATGTTTGTACTATTCCAGGAAAGCCTCAGAATATTTCCTTATGGATGGTTGGCGGGTGCTGTGATGTGGTTTGTTCCTTCTCTCCTATCAAATATCTGTTGTCCTTATCTCTTCATTTTCTTTCCTATCAAACATTTATTGTTCTTATCTTTCCTCTTTTCTGTGCTAATTACTCCCTTGTACCACCTCTAATCTCTGGCACTCATATGACCTAATTGTTTGCAAGTGGTGTAAAACTCTTACTAAAAAAGAAAATTTCCGACAGGGCCAAAAAAGTATTATCTTATTCTATTTCAGATCCCTATGCTCATCTTTACGAGATGGAAGAAGAGGATGCGGTGTCGTCCGTCATGAAAAATATGATGAGGAAGGAAGTTGTGAAAGAAACCTTCAAGTGAGTGGCTTGTGTTCATGAAATTTGGGTAGTTCGAAATTTACCAAAACAATATTTTAACCCTTCCAGCCCCAGCCATTTTTGTGCACTCCCTAACCCCAGTCCCAGCCAATACAGTAGTATTTTAGAAAAAGAGGCATTATTTCTAAAAAGTGATGTAGTATCTTTGTAATGTAGCTTTGATAATAACATATACCAATTTTTAAAGATAAATGAACAATTAATAAGAAAATTAAAGTTTAATCAAGTTCGCTAATTTTGAAAAATGCGTGAATTCGGTAACCCCCCCGAAACTGAGAATATACGCTCTTGGGACGGAGGGAGGTACAAGTGCTGCTGAAAATATACGCGCTTGGGGCTGGAAGGGTTAAGATGCTCATCTGGGATGGATTTTCTCTCTCTCTCTCTCTCTCTCTGTCTCTCTGTCTCTCTCTCTCTCTCTCTCTCTCTCTCTCTCTCTCTCTCTTTCTCTCTCTCTCTTTCTCTCTCTCTCTCTCTCTCTCACTCACTCACTCACCACCACCACTTGTTGTTTATCCCCCCCCCCCCCCCTCCCTCCCAGGAGAGACCTGGGTTTTGACGACCCCCTCACCAACAAGCCCGACCCTCGCACCAAGATGGAGTTGCGGCATAAAATGGTGAAGGAGAACAGGGAGAAGCGACAGAAGGAAGAGGAAAGGAAGAAGCTGACCACCCAGATGAAGAAGGAAGCCCGGCTCAAGGCACAGCAGCTGGTCCTGAAGGTGGACAATTTTTGTTTGTTTGTTATTTTTTGTATGATTTTCTTCTTTTTGTTTCTTTTTGGTGGTGTTATATTTGGTGTTGTTTTGTTTTTTTCTTTTTCTTTTTTTGTTTTTTTTTGTGGTGTTTGGTTTTTTTTGTTTCTCTTTGGTGGTGTTTTCAATTTTTCTTTTTGATGGTGACTTTTGTTTATTTTTGGTGAGTTTTTTTATGTTTCTTTATTTTATGGTGTTTTTATCTCCTTATCTCTGGCTAGCCATTTCCAGCGGCTCATGGTCAGAACCCCTGTGCCAGCAAGCCACTGGCAGGGGCTCAGGCACATTCTTTTACCTCGACTTTGATGTCAAATTACTTTTTGGCAATTGCTGAACACAAGTCTCTTTTATCAGAATTTCATTCATTAGATGAAGAACTATCAAAATAGGTTCACTTGTTTTAATAGAATGACCAGATTAGTGATTTAAATGTCAATTTTAAATTTTGAACCAAAATAGGGCCCGGCTTAGTGGGAGGTAAAGAGTTAAAGTGGTTTTTAAATTTTACAGTAAGTCTTTCGCTCCTTCATGCTTTTTCTCTCTCTCTGTATCTTTTTTAATAGTCTTTCTCTCTCTCTCTATTTTTTTTAAAATAGTCTTTCTCTCTCTCTTCTCTCTCTCTCTCTCTCTCTCTCTCTCTCTCTCTCTCTCTCTCTCTCTCTCTCTCTGCCTGTTTATTTTTTTATATGTCTCTTTCTGTTTCCTTGTTTCTCTGTCTGTCTGTCTGTCTGTCTGTCTGTCTGTCTGTCTGTCTCTCTCTCTCTCTCTCTCTTGTTCTCTATTTCCATCTTTTTCTTTTTCTCTCATCCCTTCTCTTAGTTTTTAAATTTATTTAAATAAAAAGAAGATACAGATCAATTTATTTTTTAAAAAGATTGAACCCACAACCATGTGAAATCTTGCCCCTGGACTATCGAGTGGCAGAAATGTATTCAAGTCCTCATAATGTTTTTCTACTCTGCAACTTAGTTTTAGTAAATTTTACGGCGCTCACAACGGCATAAGGTCATATATGAGCGCCAAGGGGTGAATGCCAACAGAGAAGTCCAAACGGGGAATCAGGCTTACTCTGCTCACCTGTCTAGCCTCAACAGCTCAAAGTCCGCTTTGACTATCAAGGCACCTTGGAAACTGCTGTTCACAAGAGAGTGACAAACATACAAAAGAAGTAGAGGACAAAATGTTGATAGTAAGGGTGAGAAAAGAAAAAGCAGCAGTTCCCCCTATGTTGTTCCAGTATGAGCATGACTTTGATAAATCAGCCCATTTACAATTCTACTGTGCATAAGAACATGTTAATGTCCCCCCTTGGGAATGGCCTAAAACACTTCAGTAGCACTGCCCAGGGGGGGGGGTGGGAATACTCTGCAACAATGATGAATACGTGACAATGATGATGATGATGAATAGCGTAGTATATATTTTTAACCTTTGTGTGCAGGAGCAAAAAGACAGAGACAGCAAGATGAAAAAAGAAGAAATGGAGACAAAGAAAGAGATGGCAAAAATACGTAAAGACCTCCAGGCAGAACTGAGGAGTAAGGAGGAAGCCTTGAAGAGGTTTGTTTTTTTATGTGAGAGAGAGAGAGAGAGGAAGGAGGGTGAGAGAGGGAGAGAGAAGGGGGAGAGATAGAGAGAGAGGGAGAGTGAGAGAGGGACAGGAAGGGGGATGGTGAGAGAGAGAGAGAGAGGAGGGAGGGTGAGAGATAGAGTGAGAAAGTGGGTGGTTGACGGGTGCTCTGGTGTGGTTTGCTTCTTCTTTCCTATCAAACATCTATTGTCCTTATCTCCCCTTCTTCTTTTTTTTATGTTTGTTTCTCTCTTGTAACACCTTTAATCTTCTGGCGCTCATATGACCTTATGCAGTTGCGAGCGCCATGAAACCTCTAAGACTAAAAAAACTAAGAGAGAGAAAGGGAGAGAGAAAATGAGGAGAGCGAGAGACATAGAGAGACAGACAGACATAGAGAGAGAGAGAGAGAGAGACATAGAAAGAGAGAGAGAGAGAGAGAGACATAGAAAGAGAGAGAGTGAGAGAGAGGGATGGATGAAGGAGGGTGTGAAATAGAGAGAAAGAGAGGGTAGAGGGAAGGGGACGATGGGAGATAGAGGGGGTTGGGGTGTGGGTGGACTGCCCGACTCCCCATGTTGCATATTAAAATAAAATTCAGAGTTGATTAATTAAGAATAAATAAATTTTACTTTATTGATTTTCATGTGTAAATGTACAAATGTACATACATGTACAAATGTACATACATGCATGAATACTTAGGTGCATACATGCTTAAACACACAAATATACATTTTTTAAAACTGTCCTATCAAAGTTACCGAATACACAAAATAACAGCTATAAAACTTTACAAAGACATCCATGCAGATAGGCACCATTAGGGCTCGTGTTGAGTGGTAAACAGCAACCTCCCAGCACGGTTGATGCGGCCTGCCTCCTAAATGGTCAAAACTGTCGGGTCTACGGTGGCTAAAAGTTTTACGCTCTGTCATGAGATGACTGTCTGTTTTCACACTGGTCTCTGTTCTTATTTCTCTGCTTCAGGGAAGCCGATGAGAAAGAATTGATGAACAAGATGGCGAGAGAAGAACTTGAACGACAGAAGGAAGCGGAGGAAAAAGCGGCACTTGAAGTGTTCAGACAGGAAAGCAGCAAGAAGAAACAACACATGGTCAAAGTGGAACTGTTCAAGGCCAAGCAGGCCGCTCGAAGCTTAAAGGTAGATCCTGAAAGGAATGAAATTGAAGCGTGTGTAACTATCTTAGACGCTGTAACTCAATCTCTTTGTGCTCAAAAAGGTGGATGCCTTCTTGATTGCGCAAGTGGGTGGTTGGCGGGTGCTTTGGTGTGATTTGCTCCTTCTTTCCTATCAAACATCTGTCATCCTTACCTCTCCTCCTTCTTTTTTTTTTGTGTTTGTTACTCTCTTGTAACACCTCTAATCTTTGTCCTCTAATATGACCTACTTCTCCCCTGCTGGTGGGGGGCCTCGTAGTTTTACTATGGGGGGGCAAAGAATACACCTGCCGTGGTACTGCGTGTCGTAAGAGGCGACTAAAAGTTCATAGGTCTGGTCGCCCGAAAAGTGCCAGTTTGCGGAGGGCCAACTATCCAACCCAGTAAAAAACAGTAAGTTTACAGAATAACGAAAAAACACAGCTTTTTATTTTTCGATCTTGGGAGACGGAGGAGCTTCTGCATCAGCAGGAACAATGAAGGACAGCGGACAAAGCCAAAAGGACAGAAATCGATGTACAGAAAAGTGAGAAGACATGGAATAACATCAAGAGGCTAGCCCAGGATAGAGAAAGGTGGAAGATGTTTGTCTGTGGCCTATACCCTGGTGCAGGGTGAGAAAGGCAATGATGATGATGATGACCTACTTGTGTTGCTAGTGCCATAAAATGCCTACTTAAACAAAACAAGCGCACAAGATTTACTGTATTTTAAAAACAAATTAATACAGGTGTTTAAAGTCATATTGATAAAAATAATGTAATGATAAATGATATTTGTAAAGCCCAAATTCCCGCTCAACAGAAAAAGCTATGTACTTTATACAATCTGTATTATTACCCCCAGCAGACCTGGTAGGATTCTGAAAAATCTCAACTTCCTGGGAAGTATACAGTGCAAGCTGCCACATATTAGTGACTGGATGCAAGGCTGTCACAACCAACATCATGCAAACTGGGCTTTTGTCGGAGTTTTGCACTTGGCCATCGATGAAGAATACGTTCAGATAATCTATCACAAGGAACATTAATTTCTGTTCTTTCAAAATAACCATAGCTTAACCCTTTATCTCCGAGGGAGGTAAACCCACTATGCCAGGACCCTCTTTTTGGTACAAAATCTAAAATTGACATAGACGTCACTCCATTGGTCATTAAATTAAAACAAGTAGACCTATTTCGATAGCTGTTCGTCTAATGAATGAACTCCTGGTAAAAGAGACCTGTTTTCGGCAATTGCTGAAAAGTAATTTGGTGTCAAAGTCATCGTAAAGGAATGTGCCCGAGCCACTGCCAGCGGCTTGCCATTTAAGTAATTTTTTAAAGGTTTCTAGTCATTACTTACTTTTCTTTTTCAGGTCTCTGTTACCATACAGTATGGAGGGGAGAAGCAAACGAAGCAAACGTGTGGGTGGTTGGAGGGTGCTCTGGTGTGGTTTGCTTCTTCTTTCCTATCAAAGATCTATCGTCCTTATCTCTCATTCTTCATTTTTATGTTGTTACTCTCTTGTAACACCTCTAATCTTCTGGTGCTCATATGACCTTATGCAGTTGCGAGTGCCGTAAAACCTCTACTAAAACTAAGGAGAAGCAAACGTCTTTTTTTGTTTGTTGTATCGCTTGTTGTATGGTTATAATTACTTTTTTTTCTATGTTTCTCCTACCCCCTCTATCCATTTTTCTTGGGTCTACCTCTTCCTCGTGGGTGGTTGGCGGCTGCTCTGGTGTGGTTTGCTCCTTCTCTCCTATCAAACATCTATAGTCCTTATCTCTCCTTCTTTTTTATGGTTGTTACTCTCTTGTAACACCTATTAATCTTCTGACGCTCATATGACCTTATGCAGTTGCGAGCACCGTAACAACCTCTACTAAAATCTACCTCTTCCTCTGTATCCTTCTGATCTCTGGTTGTATGCTCTTGCTGCTATTCTCTCTGGTGTTCGTTTTTTGTTTGGTAGAAATGCATGATTGTTTCCAAGGTAACTTAAATGCTCAGGAGAGAGAAAAAGTGTTTGTTTAATTTAGGTGTGTTACTGTGTTAGTTAATGTGTGTATGTGTAAGAATGTGTCTGTATGTCTGTGTGTGTGTGTGTGTGTGTGTGT